TCTAGAAACAACTGATCAATAACATAACCACCATCATGGTCACTGATATGCGTGCATTTGCTAGTGAGCGTTTGGAAGCTTCCAGCCCAGAATGAAGGAAGCTGGGGGTTGAAGAATTTGGAGAAGTCGTTTTTGGGGTGGTCGCAATCTTTAACTTTCTTCTCTGGCAGATGCTTATTCAGGGCGCAGGGGAGGCGATAGTCCGATAGAGCGATGCCAATGCTATATGGTGGATGAGGTATCGTGGCCCTGGCTATCTCCCTCAGAACGTGGTGAGTTGGCATTGCAATGTGAGGTCTGGCGTACATTCGGAGAAAGGAGAATCTGAGACGTTTCTGACGATTCCCTCGCAACCCGAAGCCAGCCTAGAGGGCTATTCCGCGCTGACTTTAGCAATGCTTGTCTTCATACATTGAAGTGGTTCCCAAACCAGGCCACCTAGCGAATCCAACAAAACGAGAGCGATATTCTCAGAAAACGGAGTTCGGGCTTTGGTTGAGCTGGTGCTTCCTGGCTGCGAGGCAGCCATCAGACGTGCCGCATGTTGTTGTCGCAGTGGACTCATGACTCATTTCCACTGGTGACCGATTAGGGAAGGCTCTGCTTTTGCCGTCCCAGAATGGATTTTCCCCAGATGGTCAGGCGTGCTTCCCGCTCATGGTCGGCCGGACCATAAGGTTTCCATCAAAACTTCATTCTGCAGCAGTCCTTGCCATACTGATGGCGTGTGCTGGTGCATCGGCTGCGCTCAGGTATCTGCTACAATACCCTGGTAGCAACGTCGGAGGCACTCCCAATTTAGGGTGCAAGGGGCGCTCATCAAAATAACTCTTCGAATCGCTGGATGGAATTTTTTTTCTTCGGGTAGAAAAAACATTTCAGTGTTGCCATGACATCAAGCATCACAGTCAAAAGTACTTGCGTTATACACTATGTAAGACATACTAATTTAGCTGCGCGTGGTACCGAGCGCGTCACACGATCGCTAACGAATGAGGCACCCATTGGATAATGTGACTTCATTTCAGTCTTCGTTCTCGGTGAACTTTCCACTTGCCAGGAGCCTTGGTTGGTGTATTGGCTCAACGAGTTTGTTCTACTTAAATGACAGTCGATCACACGGCTTCGCTAGAAGCTCTTCCTTTTTGGCAGTCGATATGCGCGGGTGGTACCCCCCCCCATCCATACCCTTATCATGGCACTTCTTCTTATCTTTCTATACATCCTATATTATGAACCTTTTCACTTTTGAACCCTCCGTTTTCATCACAAACTCTCAAGCACTAAGTAGAAAGAAAGTACGGGGTTCCTAGTACGATTCCAAATTTTTGCATTCCGAATTGACGTTTCAAAATTTGCGCAAAATGGAATTAGCATAATTAATTACTACCATTTTATGATTAGGACCGTCAGTAACCCTTAAAATAGACTTTGATTAAAAACTGGTGAAAAAGGTTGTGACACCACAGTGGGGCCGTTTGGTGTCACACCTTTTTCACCAGTTTTTAATCAAAGTCTTTTGTAAGGGTTACTGACGGTCCTAATCATGAATATGGTACTAATTATTCATGCTAACTCCATTTTGCGCGAATTTTGAAACGTCAACTCGAAATGCAAAAATTTGTCACCACGAGGAATCGAACTAGGGACCCCCTTTTCTGGTATTCAGAGGGCCGTTCAGGAAAAATTGACCATGGTTCTGTGGTTCCCGCATGTGCCCCTATATCATGCAAGAAACCGTTTTGAAAAAGCTCGCCACACCCTGAACGAGCTTTCTTGTTAGAGGGCGGAGACATGGAGCACCAAAGTTTCGTAGGAGGAGGAACTCGCAGTCACTCAACGGGCAATGAAGAAGGCCATGTGCGCGTCTAACGCTCGAGACCGCATACCCAATGACACCATCCGCGCTCGTACGATGGTGAAGGACGTCGTCGATGCCATCTATAATTCCAAGCGGAGGTGGGCCGGTCATGTGGCTAGACTCACCGATGATCGCTGGACTAAGAGAGTAACTGAGTAGCAACCAGGGGAGAAAACAAGGTTCCACAGCCAATCAGCTGACCCTCGTGACCCTCTTATACGGCTAGCTGCAACGCGGAAAAGCCCGAAGTAGAGCGGCTGGACGATCTACGACCTGCGTTACTGGCTAGGGCCGAATAGCGGTCGTGAAGTAAGTAGCTAATCAAGTAACCGGCACACCGAGGCGTGGTTCATAAAATGCAAAATGACTTTGTAATTATCAATGATGAAATAACAAACATCGAATCCTTCGGCAAATATTACATTGCGGTCATCTCCCGCCATCGTATGAATTGTTAACTTTCGTCTCAAATAAGTAGAGTAGTCGGCTCCCACGACAACGTATATAAGTTTAATTCCTGCATCTCGCACCTAAAGATGAGTGTCATAGAAAAGGTATTTGTCTGTGGCCTCATCTAGTTGTTTGTTCTTTTCTACCCACCTTCTTCGCTTCAATTGTTTGCGAGTAACTCATCAAACGTTTCTCTTGTCGGTCGCAGCCGTGAAAGCCCTAGGAAGCGGCAACGCAAACTTCACAGAAAACAGTTGTAGAAGAAGAAAGAAATTACGAATGACATCAATCAGCTCACAAAAAAATCTATGACTTTGCCAAAGAAACCACATCCTGGTCCCGCATCGACATCACCGTCTGATAGCAAAATAACGATTTTTTCTGTCGTCTTTTCTTTCTGAAGTCAATCAAGTAAAGTTAATCGGCGTGAAGTCTTCTGATAAAGGGTGGGATCCCAGGTCGAAGTGGTAATTTGTATTCGGCTAAACAGTGCATATTCCGACTAGGCGTAGGCGTAACCCTGAAAGGCCCGTCGTTGAACTTCATTAAAGGCAGCGATAACGATCGATTCTGGAAGTATTTAGAGGGGACGTGGGGTGCTCAATAGTACGCCAATGGCGAAAAAAGCAGAGAAATCCGTCAAAAATAAGCAAAATAGTACCCCTTTGATTGCCCTTTCATTTTCGACCATGAGCGGCGACAAAGAAAGTTGTTCGGACGTGTTAACCCCGATAGCCGCCATCATGCCAACAAGCATAGTGTTTTGATTGATAAGGCATTACATGGGCAAGTTGGAAGATACAGCCGCTAAGAAAATGATCTTCCAAAATGAAAAGCCAACAGCAAACAGCTCGCCCAAGTCACCATTGAACTAGTGGGCGTAACGCTTTCGGGCGGAGTGCTTCGGAAGTCTGGGAGACGGTCAATTCAATCGTCAGCTAATGAGGTCACGCCGCTCACGCGGCGAGCATCGTCGCGCGCGGCAGTTGGAGCGGCGATTTCTGTGTGGACCTTGTCTTAACCATCCATGTCCATAAGTTGGCTAGGTGACTGATAAGATCAGAGTGCTAGACATCAGTAAGCCAGCAAGCGTCATCTTAAGATCTCCGCAATGATTTAAGCCTCACAGTGCAAAGGTTGTACCATGTAAAGGTTGTCCTTTTGAATTTAATTCGACTTTTTTATTAACCAGTTCAGCTCCGCCCGCTACCGCGCATGACACGGAAGCCTCTGACAAAACTGACAATCGGTGAAGCTTTGGGTTTCACCGCTTAACTATAGCTGCTTCGTTAAATGCATTACTGTCCGTTGCCCATCTTGGCTGTATCTCACTGTTTGATAAGCGCAGTGAAGTGCACAGCTAAAGTGATGTATGTAAACAACCACCATGCATCGAGAATCGAGGAAATTTAGCGGTCGAATAATTTTTGGTAATCTCAAGACGGAATGCCCAGTATTTACTATCAAATTTATTAGAGCATCCCATTCATCCTCAAGAACTCTAGAAGGTGTAGCGGTTGAAAGGTGTTTAATTTAATGAAATGATATTGAAATGAAATGCATTATCTGCAATCTGGTTTCGAGTAATCTCTACGTTCGTACGCATATCGTAATTATCAGTCCTCATCTGTCGTATATCTTTTTGACCCCCACAAAATATGTTACCGTCCAACCCCCATATCATGTCCCAAAATCGTTCCTGACTGCAACTTGCTGGGCGGAAGCGCGCTATGAATTTTGTGAAAATTGTGTTTCAGCGCCTCTCAATTGCTCATATCAGTCGTTATCACTTTGTGACCCCCACCAAATATGTTCCCGTCCCACCCCCTATATCATATCTTGAAACCAACTCCTGACGACCACTGGTGCCCGAGCTATGAATTTCGCGACACTTGCGTTCTAGCGCCTTTTATCAGCCCTTATCAGTTGTGATCACTTTCTTTACCCCACCAAATATGTTCCCGTCCCACCCCCTATATCATATCTTGAAACCAACTCCTGACGACCACTGGTGCCCGAGCTATGAATTTCCGGTCAGACAGACAAACACACACAACCGCTTAGCCGATTATATTAGGATTAGCTGCCTGAATTATCATACGTCTGAACACAGGAGAATCATGTTCCAAGACGCAGAGGAAGCGGTGAAGTGAAGCGCTAACATAAGTATGATAAAGATAAGCTTTAATAAATGGCAGGGGCGAGGATTCCTATTCCTTGTTTAATGACCGAATAACTTCATCTAATATTACATTCCCCAATGTTTGGATACGAGTTCTTCGCGAATTCGCTGGAGGAAAACGGGAATTTCCAAACGTTCACTCAGTGCTGCAATTGCAACAAGTCACTCCATTATATAAAGCAGAGAACTTTGGTGTGTCGGTTTGTCGGTGTGTGTTGTGTGCGTGTGTCGTTCTGTCCGTCCGGACCGACCGCTCACAAAACCAGGGAGTACGAAGGGCAACACTTCGTGATGTTGATGTCATGATCATGATAAACCCACAGCGGCTATATAAACACCGATCGAGCACACTCAGTCTCATTCTACATGGTGCTTGCTGTGGCAGCCGGATTAGCGGGGGAAGAGGGTGGAGAGGGGTAGAGGGGGGGGCAACAAAGGGGAGGCTGGAAGGGGGGGGAGGGGGGGGGGGAGAGAAGAGGGATGGGAAGGGGAGAGGAGATAGGCAAGGAGAACATGGCTTGAGAGATTGACGACCGTTCCAAAGTGAGGTCTATTATTCATGCGTTGACTTTATTCTAACATGATGTGGTGTTGTGATAAAAAGTGGCTTACCAAAACCGATTGCCGGCACACTTGGCGGTTTGAGATGGTGCTGCCGTGCAGCCGAATGACGCGGGAGAGTGGTGGGAGAAGTAGAGAGGGAGGGGCCAAAGAAGGGCAGGCGCTGATAGGGAGGAAGGGGAGGAGAGGAGAAAGGGAGAGAGAACATGGTGCTGCCATGAGGAGAAGAGGAAACACATTCAATAGTGAGGTGGTTAATGGAGTACGTCATGCTGCTATTCCGTGGTTCCTCCCTACCGATGCGCGCGATAGCGGGCGGAGCAAACCTGGTAGATAAATACTCCAGAAGCTAGCTGGTTATGAGAGCAACCTAATGATAGCTTCAAAGATAGGGTCGTTCGCAAACTCTATTTGATTTCGTTGGCTTTGCATCAAGTGCTTCATTTCTGAACTGATTTCTAACAAACTGCTCTTCTTTATATTTAAAGGCGGAATTTACTCTGGAAAGGCAACCCAATTCAATTCGAGTCATGGATGGTCATTGATCAATAAGAAGGAAAAATTTCCTCATTTTCGGTAGAATTCGGCGTGAGCTGTCCAAACGACCCAATGACTGTTTGGCTCCCTAACTGACCTCAGAAGTGCGATCCAACTTAGGTTCTATAATATTACCCGGCCGATTCTATTTTAACCCAGATCTGATTATTCAGAACTATTGCATTTTTTGATGGTTGCCGTTCTGTTTTGAGAACTCCATCATTGACAGTAAATACTCCCATATAAGGAATCAGATGTCTCCTTCAGGGTCCTAATGAATATTTCGTCCTTCAAACAATGAATTGTTAGACCGTCCTGCATGGACAGCGGTGTCTTCCAAGTGGGGAACGACAGTCAATCTGCACGAAAGGATATTAGGCAACTGCTAGAATGTTTAAGCAACTAGACGAGCTCAGTGCGTGAAATAAGAGGTATCTCGGGGTTCCCGGAGTCTGAATAGGTGAGATGTTCCACGGTGCTACCACCTCCACTCACCTTATGACTGTTGAACATTCTTACCTTTACGTTCTTTGCAGAGAACCTTCCAGTGATACCCGCTCAACTGAGTGACCCGCACTGATTTTCTTCATGCATTAATAGATCACCAGTTTAGCTCCGCACGCAACCGCGCGCATCACATGGTAGGCTTTAGTGAAACTGGACAACTTGCAGAATATTAGGTCACGTGGCTGAGAAACTAACAGTAAGATGTTTTGGAAGATGTGTCACATGAAGTTCAAAGGTTGTCCAATTTTGCTGAAGATTGTCGCGTAATGCGCGCAGTAGCATGCGGAATGAAAATGGTACTTATCATGACTTCGTAAACATTTAGCATTGATATCGAGCTCGGGCGATTTAGCGGTTTATAGAATTTCCACAATTGAAGAATCGGTGTGTAAGTGAAATATAACCAATCAATCAGCATCTAACGAGCTATGATGGAAATTGGAAATATGATGGAAATTCGCTATTAGTCCAAGTCCAGATAGTTGAGCAGCTCAACTTTCTTTGCTTCTTTAGATGAA